GCAGTGGCGGATTTATCTTTGTTGAGGCCCAAAGCGCATGTTAGTGAGAAGGCCCTATAGTTTAGGGTAAATACAAAACATCAGATAAAAAAAATTTATTAAATTTAAAATAAGAAAACAACCTAATTTAAATTTAATTACACGTAGTTATTATATTATAACGACACTTTTCGGGCTTTTTCTCTAGCAAACTTGTCTATAATATTGTTATAATCTAAGTTTTGAACAACATCATTTTCAATAAACATAAGAGACAAGCTACTCAAATGTTGCTGACTTAATGAATTGCGCAAATAATTTTTTACCCTTTTTAGGGTTGAGAAGGATCTTTCGCCCGTTGCATTACAAATAGGGATAGTTAAAAAAATCTTTAAAATTGTCTCCACGTTAGGAAAAGTTGACTTTAGACCATCTACTATTGCTTCGTACATTAGTCTTGGATCTGTAATTTTTTCCTCCCAGGTGTATTTAAGAAATTGTTTTAGCTCTTCTTTAAAGTTTTCGACGTCGATATCTTCAGAATAACGTGTCATCAAATTACGTACTCTAGTTTCAAAATCTTCTTTATCCATGTTTTGTTCGAAGAACACGCTAAAATCTGCAAGGACTTCGTTATATGCCGTTGATCTTCTATTTATTTCAGCGATAAGAACATCACACACGACATTATGCACTGTCACAATAAAACCTTGTCTGCCCACTAAACACGTATCATTAGTTCTTGACTCGTCAAATTGCAATTTACGTTTTTTTACACGACGATCAGTATCTTCATCAGGAAATACATGATTCTCCGTTAATAAATCGGCACATTGTTCGATATCTTCAAACCCACATGTTCGGATATCTAAAATGTAATTAGACAAGGATTTTAGTAGTTTAGCTCCTTGTAAAATGTTTATGTCCTCCTTTTGAAGAGATTTGCTAGTGCTATTTATACGCGAAAGTAATTGATCCCACAGGATAGTCATCAAGGCATATTCATAATTATCAAAATTTTTATAAAGTGTTTTAGCCTCCAAACGGGTCACAGCCTTCTCTTTTGCACTTTCGCTAAATCTAAACAAAACCTCTTTAATGGATTTGTAGCCGAACCGTAACGCAGAAACAGCGTCTGCTCTTGCTGACCACCTTGTATCAGATAATCGTTTTAAATGAATGGATCGACTACCATTATTCTGATTATTCAAACAGTTTAATAGTTCATTCCAGCGGCGTGTCGAAGAAGCGAAAAATGTATAAACATTTTGAACGAACGCAAAATATTGCACAGCTTTTGGGCACGATTCAGCAGCCGCATTTCCTACTAAATTAAGGGAATGGCTGGCACATGGAACAAACACGGCAGATGGACAGTGACTTTTTATCCGCGTTTGCAAACCTGAGTATTTGCCCGACATATTTGCGGCGTTGTCATAAGACTGACCTCTGCATTGTGTAATACTTAGCGTAAGGCTACTAAGTGCTGACAAAATGACGTTCTCTAAATAACTGGAATCGTGCTGTTCGATTTCTAAAAATCCAAAAAACCTTTCACGAATTTTACCTTTCTCGTCCACGAATCGGAGAATAAGGGTTAACTGGTCTGTATGTGTAATGTCTGGTGTAGAATCTACAATTATAGCGAAATACGTAGCATTTTTCACGTCTGAAATCAACTTTTGTTTCACCTCGGAGCCCATAATGTTTATAAATTCGTCACACACTGCATGAGATAAATAATTCACATGGCCGCTACCAGGGTTACTATATTTTTGCAAGTGAGCCTTAAGAAATGGATCGAATTCCGCTAAGTAATCGATGCAGGTCAAAAAATTTCCTTTTCTATCTTCATTTGTTTCTCGATGGCCTCGAAACGCTAGGCCCAGGGTTGATAGCAATTTGACAGTAGCTATAATTCGTTTTAAAACTTCCCTCCAATATTGTTGCTGCTCTTCTAGCTGTTTGACCATATTACTATCAACACGTCCTAGTGCCGACGATCTTCTCTTAAACGCCAAGATGGAACGAACATGATCTAAGGAACTCTCATGTTCCTTTAGTGCCTTATTCACATTTCGCCAATCGTTATACCCGTCTTTAAGTTTGTTTTCTGAATGAGAGAATAATTTGCACACGTAGCAGTAAACACACTTGCTAGTTGTAGAAAATCTCAGCCATTCTCTAAATTCCTTGGTACCGTTTGCCTTTGTGGTGTAAAAATTGGAGGTACAGAAGCTTCGACTG